CAAAGTGGGTATTCCCTTGTCGGAGAACACGCCGGGAAGGACAGAGGGTTGGAACCCATAAGCAACCATAAAAGCACTTAAGCCAGTGGACGAATGAGTCACAGTGTTCCTGGCGAATTCAGCCCAAGGAAGGAGGTGAGACCAGTCCTGGTGTGCATTCGTGAAGCAACGTAAATATAACTCCACAGATTGATTCGCCCGTTCGGCCGCTCCATTAGATTGTGGATGATAGGAGGAAGTAAACGACAAGGAAATCCCCATCCCAGCACAAAAGCCCCTCCAAAACCAAGAGACAAATTGAGGACCCCTGTCAGATACGATATCCTGCGGTATACCATGCAAGCGGAAAACCTCTTTGGCAAATACCTGAGCCAACTGAACCGCAGAAGGTAGTTTCTTAAATGGAATAAAGTGTGCCATTTTAGAGAATCTATCAGTCACAGTCAAAATTACTGTCATTCCATCGGATGAAGGAAGATCCACAATAAAGTCCATGGATAAGTGGGTCCATGGTTTCTTGGGTACGGATAAAGGCATTAGGAGTCCCGGGGGTTTGACATTAGGGGACTTACACTGTGCACAAACACGACAAGCTTGCACATAATCCACTACGTCTTGCTTAAGTGAAGGCCACCAAAACTGTTGAAGGAGACCCTTGTATTTTTTGGTAACCCCTGGGTGGCCAGCCGTTTTGGCGGTGTGAAATAAAGCTAACAATTTCTTTCTATCTTTTTCTTTCACGTATAATCTACCAAAGGTGTCTCAGAGGGTGCTTGGGTTTGGTATGCCTTGATACCATCAAGGAAAAGAGACAAAATAACTAAACGGGTAGCAGCTATTATCTTAGACGTGGGTACAATGGGTTCAGGAGCGGGGGCGATAGACTCCAAAGGTTCGTATTGTCGGGAGATAGCATCAGCCTTGACATTACGGTACTCAGGCCTATATGTGATAATGAACTGAAAGCGTGAAAGAAATAAGGACCATCTGGCTTGACGAGAGGACAACCTTTTAGCATTAGCTATATAGGAGAGATTCTTATGATCAGTTATAACCAGGATTTTGTGTCTTGCTCCTTCTAATAAGTACCTCCACTCTTTAAAAGCCAGCACAATAGCTAATAGTTCCCTATTCCCAACGTTGTAATTCTTTTCCGAATCAGACAGTTTTTTAGAAAAGTAACAACAGGGATGGAGGGGTTCGTTATAGGATAATCTTTGTGATACTACAGCTCCTATACCTGATTCTGAAGCGTCTACTTCCATTATAAAGGGAAGGGAAGGATCAGGATGGTGTAGCACAGGGGCAGTGGCAAATGCCGTTTTGAGAGTTTCGAAGGCTTTAATGGCTTCAGGCGTCCAAACCCTGGGGTGCAAACCCTTTTTAGTTAGTTTCATGATAGGAGAAATGACCAATGAAAAGTTTTTAATAAACCTGCGATAATAATTGGCAAAGCCTATAAATCGCTGTATTGCCTTAAGGCCTTGAGGGAGAGGCCAAGACAATATGGCTTCTAATTTAGAAGAATCCATGCTGAACCCCTGTTCAGAAATTATGTACCCTAGGAATTGTACTGATTTCTGGTCAAATAAACATTTCTCCAATTTACAATAAAGACTGTTCTGTAGCAATCTCTTAAGTACCTTCCTCACATGGGCATGATGTGACTCCAAATCAGGAGAATATACAAGTATATCATCGAGATAAACCACAGCACAGACATGCAGTAAATCTCTAAGGACATCATTTATGAGGTCCTGAAAGACAGCAGGAGCATTACACAGTCCAAAAGGCATGACTAGATACTCGTAATGCCCACTGCGTGTATTGAACGCTGTCTTCCATTCATCATTTTCTTTTATACGAACCAAGTTGTAAGCCCCCCTGAAGTGTAGTTTAGTAAAATATCTAGAACCTTTAACACGGTCAAACAACTCAGTAATGAGAGGGATAGGATAAGCGTTTTTAACTGTTATATTATTCAGGCCCCTATAGTCTATACATGGCCTCAAATCGCCCTCTTTCTTGGCAACAAAAAAGAAACCAGCACCAGCCGGAGAGGAGGACCTTCTGATAAAACCTTTACGTAAGGATTCCTGTATGTACTCCTCCATGAACTGGTTTTCTTTCTCAGAAAGCGGGTAGACCTTACCCCTAGGAGGCATCGTTCCAGGTAACAGATTTATGGCACAATCATAATCCCGGTGTGGGGGTAGTTTATCAGCTTCCCTCTTTTCAAAGACCAATGCGAGGTCTGCATACACAGGAGGGACAGAAACAGAAAGTGGTTTAGCTGTAGGCACATTAAGTAAACAAACGGGATGTAAACAGGCCATACAGTCTTGTTGACAAGATACCCCCCAGGAGAGTATATCTAGAGAATCCCAATCAAGTACCGGGTTATGCTTAACTAACCAGGGGAAGCCCAGAATGATGGAAGCTGTAGGGGAGTCAATTATTTGGAAGGTTATCCTTTCTTTGTGTAAGGCACCCACGACCATAACCATTTCTTGGGTTTCATGGGTCACCAGAGGTTTATCAAGTGGTCTACCATCTATGGCCTCAATGGCCAAGGGTGTTGCCTTTTGGATCAGATTCAAGGCTGCGGTTTTAGCAAAGTTCTCATCCATAAAGTTGTCTGCAGCACCTGAATCGATCAAGGCTTTAGTTGTTATCGTGGTTTTATTGACCAAAAGAGTAACCGTAATAAATGGTCTGGAGATGGACACATGAGAGGAAAAAACCATAACACCCGAGGCCGACCCCTCTCTAGGCCTTAGGTGCTGGAGTTTCCCTGCAAACTAGGACAGTTTCTTCGGAGATGCCCCCTCTTACCACAATACAGGCACAAACCCTCCCTTCTGCGGTATGTTCTTTCAGCTTCAGATAAGCCTACAGCACCTAATTGCATGGGTTCGGGAGGTGGTTGATTAGGGGGAGGTAATGCTAGTAATGCAGTACTAGGTAAAGCAGGTAACCCCTGTGTATTCATCCTTCTTTGACTACGCCTCTCTCTAATACGGTTGTCAATTAGAATGACATAATCTAGTAGATCATCCAGAAGAACAGGCATTTCCCTGGATGCTATTTCATCTAATATGTAAGCGGCCAAACCCTCCTGAAAAGCTGTTACGAGAGCCTCGTTATTCCAGACCACTTCAGCTGCCAGAGTGCAGAATTCAATGGTATAATCCGCTACAGATCTATTACCCTGTCGAACCCTAAGCAGAGCTTTGCCAGCAGAAGCAACCCGGCCGGGTTGATCAAACGTACGTTTAAAAGCTGTTAAAAAGTCTGCAAAGGACATTGGGGACGTATTCTCCCACATGGGAATAGCCCATGCTAGAGCTTTCCCGGACAAATGGTTAATCAAAAAAGCAATTTTGGTTCTGTCTGTGGGGTAGGAACGAGGATTCATCACCAAATGAATATCAATTTGGTTGAGGAAACCACAGCACAATGCTGGATCACCGCTGTAGCGCTGAGGTGGCGTCATGTGAACCACGTGAGCAGGAGCGGGTACTGGATCAGGAATGGGTTCTGGCACAGCAGCAACAGCTTTTTGAACGGCAGGTTGCAAGTGGGCAGTACGAGCCAGTATGGTTTGTAAAGCCTGAGCAAACTGATCCATACGGTGGTCTAAACCATCCATTCTAGCCTCCTGATTTACTAACAGCTGTGGAATGTCAGCAGGTTCCATGGTGGCCCTGTTGTAATGTCACAATTCTGGAACCTAACACGCTAACAGGTCACAGAGAGGAAGGGTGCTATACCGGTCCTTAGAGTGGCCGGGCTAAGCACACTAAGAATGGTCAGGAGACAAGCCAAGTAAAGGGAGCCAGAAAACGCGAGAACGAGAAACAAGCCGAGGTCAAAGGAGTGGAGAAGACAGGATAATCGGAATAACGAGCCAAATAATCGGAAACCAGAGAGCAACACGAGAGAACAGCACTACGGGTATCACAAGACCACAACAGGGCACTGAGGGACAGGAAAGGTAAGTATAAATACCCTTGGTTTAATTCTGATTGGATAACTTCCAATCAGAATTAACAATCACACGTGGGGGATATCTATACCTCCCACTGTGATTGTGGTACTGTTTCTTTAACGCTGGGTCACTCACGTGACCCCGGCGTTTGCATAATTTAGTGTCCTCCCAGCGTGCAGCGATATACATGCTGCCGCTGGGGGGCGTGGAGGACGCGAGCAGCAGAGAGGAGACGCCGCTCGCCGACAGGTGAGACAAGGGGAGACCGCGGGCGGCGACGGACTGAGGGTGAGTGCTGCAATTGGCATGCAGCCTCCCCTCCTGACACCTACTGTCCTCCCCCCCCCGGCCCCCACCCCTGGGCGGCGGGTGGGGGCCATAAATATTAATGAGGGGGGGGACCTACTGTCCTCCCCCCCGGCCCCCACCCCTGGGCGGCGGGTGGGGGCCACAAAGATAATGATGGGGGGACCTACTGTCCTCCCCCCCGGCCCCCACCCCTGGGCGGCGGGTGGGGGCCATAAAGATAATGAGGGAGGACAGTAAATTCCCCCCCCCAAGGTGACTAGGGGTCCCCAAGCCCCTAGTCACCCACGCCCCCCAAATAAAAAGTCCCTACCTACCCCCCTCACCCTAAAAAATAGTGAGGTGGGAATAAAATAACTAACCTGTAAAATAAAAGTAAACTTACCATTCGACGTCTTCTTTTTTCGCAAATCTTCATTTTTCAGCCCCAAAAAAGGCCAAATAAAAAACCATCATAACCGTCGAATTGAAAATAAAATAAAAAACCAGAACGCAAAAAAATTTAACTTTCCCACGCTGTGTAAAATGACACAGAGCACTGTGATTGGATGGCTTGAAAGCAGAGAGCCAAATAGAGCACTGTGATTGGATGGCTTGAAAGCCATCCAATCACAGTGCTCTGTGTCATTTTACACAGCGTGGGAAAATTCCAAAGAACTTTCCCACGCTGTGTAAAATGACACAGAGCACTGTGATTGGATGGCTTTTTCCCACGCTGTGTAAAATGACACAGAGCACTGTGATTGGATGGCTTGAAAGCCATCCAATCACAGTGCTCTGTGTCATTTTACACAGCGTGGAAAAGTTCTTTTGAATTTTCCCACGCTGTGTAAAATGACAAAGAGCACTCTGATTGGCTTAAACCCACCAATCAGAGTGTTCTTAGCCTAATTGCCTAACCTCTTGTCCCCCCCTTATTGTTCATTTTAGGGCCCCCACCCACCGCTCAGGGGTGGGGGCCAGGGGGGACAATTGGTCCCCCCCTTATTGGTATTTTTAGGGCCCCCACCCACCGCTCAGGCTGCTCACTGTTTAATAGACATGCCCCTACTCGCAGTATTGCGAGTAGGGGCACAATTTACTAATACTAAGTAATTTTTACTTAGTATTAGTAAATTAATAGGGGGCGGACCGAACATCGCATATGTTCTCCATCAGTGGCGAACGCGAACACGCTATGTTCGCCGGGAACTATTCGCCAGCGAACCGTTCGGGACATCACTAGTAATTACCCCTAACAGGTGTTAGAGATGGGTAACTCACAAAGGACCCAAGAGCAGTTTACTACTCTAACTATAGTTAAACATCATAAAGGACAAGGCGCTACTAAGGCAATAAAGAAATTACTTAAGGAAGCTGGAATGCCCTCAGAGGGCACCCTTAACCCACAGATATGGAAGGAATTTATTGCAACTTATAGGGGATGGTTAGAAGATAATGATTTAATAGATGTTGCTCAGAAATGGCATGATACTGCAGTTGAATTGACTAAATGTGGTTGTAGAGAAACTACCAGGAAAGGAATATCCTATTACCAATGTTTTGGATCTTTAGGGTCCTGTAACAGAAAGGATCCCAAAAGGAACCTAAACATCCATCCCCTTACCCGGGTAAGGAAGGAACCGTGCATAATTCGGTCCCTAAAGAGAAAATTAGATATCAAGTTCCTGCATCCACTGTAAATCCTATCACCCTATAGAGAACCCTGAAGAGGATGATGAGTCAGAGGAGGAGGGAGGGAAGAGGAAGGAGTCACGAGATGGGATACTGTAACCACCCGAAGTAAGACACAAATGAAAAAGAGACAGGAAGCTTTTAATGAAAGTAGACCACTAGATGTTCAAGCAGGTCCAAAAGGGTGGGAAGAGTATAAGCCATGGATACCAAGTGAACAACTAGCTTTAATTCAACAGTTGCCAGATGTGGAAAAAGCTCCTTTAGCTTTAGTTCAATCCCTGTCCACTATTCAGGCTACTTACCAATGTGCTTGGGCAGACCTAAAGCAAATAACTGACTTAAAGGTAGGTCATGTCCTCACTCGAATCATTGCCCATTACATGGATGTCCATAGAAACATAGAAACATAGAATGTGACGGCAGATAAGAACCATTCGGTCCATCTAGTCTGCCCAATTTTCTAAAAACTTTCATTAGTCCCTAGCCTTATCTTATAGTTAGGATAGCCTTATGCCTATCCCATGCATGCTTAAACTCCTTTACTGTGTTAACCTCTACCACTTCAGCTGGAAGGCTATTCCATGCATCCACTACCCTCTCAGTAAAGTAATACTTCCTGAGTAATATTCCCATGAGGGGAATTTGAGGAAAGGTGGACAAGACCAACTGCCAAAAACAGACCAATGGTTTAGAGCTAAAGCAGCCTCAGGAAAATCCTATGTAACTGCCCTTAAAGAGTGGGCAAAAGTAAAGACTGATAAATTGGACCACAAGCTAGGAGACATTATACAGGGAAAGATGAGTCTGTTGAAAAATTCTTTGTCAGGTTACAGATAGCTTGGGAGTCATTGTGCTATACAGAAACTGAGGTAACCTCCACCTGGCTACTGATTAACTGTTTCATGAATGGTCTCCATGCTCCTATAAGAACAGGACTCCAGAATGCTAGACCAGAATAGAGAAGCCTTAATTACAATGATTTAGTTAAAGTGGCTATGGGAGTAGAAGCCAACTTAAACAATAGGAGTAGAACAACTCCCCTTATGGCATTGACTGACCCCAGATCAAGTACAGAAAGGAGACAGGTTGAGTGTTGGAATTGTGGGAGAAAGGGACATATTAAGCACAACTGTAAACGTCCTCCTAAAAATAGGAACCAGCAGAACAATTCTGACAACTCTCAGGGCACTCAGTTTCCACCACCCCTGCCCCAATAGGTAATTGACCACCCAGTGTCCCTGCACACTTTAACTAATCCTGATGTAGCTGGACCCTCTACTACTGTTAATGTTACATTACCAGTAATAGAAAAGTCCCTTTTCTACTAAACACTGGAGCTGTATTGTCATGTGTCGGGGTAGATGGGACCCCTAGCTATATCCCCCGTCACTCACAAAATGAAGCTGAAACATCATGAACCCACCTCCCTTGTAACTAGACTGCTTTTCAGTCCTAATGCCCCTGTTATCACTATAAATGCCAACATTCAGCTAAGTCCGTCTGGAGAGGTAAGACTGCCCCTAGAGGATAATCACCTGATACCCCTTGCCAATTTACTAGCAACCCTCACTGTGCCAGAACCTACCATTGACTTGACCTTAGTGCCTGACTCTCTATGGGCAGCAGGAAAGACAGACACAGGCAGACTCTCTGTGCCCCCAGTCAAAGTGAATCTTCTGCCAGGAGCCACCCCTCCCTGCCAGAAACAGTACCCCCTTAGCCCAGCACAAGAGGATGCTATCTCCCAATCTGTCCAAGAGCTAATGCAGGCAGGAGTTATTGTCCCTACTATATTGACTTGTAATACCCTATTGTACCCCATTAAAAAGAAACAGGAGAAAGGAAAACCTGTGGTTTATCGTATGGTACATGATTTAAGGATAATTAATGCTGTGACCGAACTAATTGCCCCCAATGTTACAACCCTCATACACTGTTGTCACAGATTCCACCTTCTTCTAAGGTGTTTACTGTCATTGATAGAGATGAGTTCGTACCGAACATTACGATTTTTATGACCCCGAGCCCGGACATTTCAGTAACAGTTCGGGTTAGAGTTCAGTGTTCAGAGATTTAATGGCGCGTTTTGAAAAGCTGCAGGGCAGCCAATCAACAAGCATTTGACTCGTGTGCCCTTAGAAGCCATCAAAGCCATGCCTAATAATGGCATGGCTGTGATTGGCCAGTGCAGCATTTGACCTGGCCTCACGTCACATGAGCTCTTATTAGTGTAGGGAGAGGATGCTGCAGCTGTGAGGGACAGATTAGGAAAGAATTCTGGTGTTGAGTCTGCAAACTACAGCTGTTATTTTTGTGGGTGCTGTACTACATTTTTGTACCCTGCACTGAGCCCAGTGCCACAGAGAAATAAGCATTCAGTCTGTTTGTTAGGTGGGCACTGGCAACTGCATGTGTGCCAGGCACATTACTTTAATCCTGTTCTGGTAGCTCAGTGGGAAACATCTAGGCATTTTTAAATACTGCTGTGACATTGCAGTTTGACAAATTAAATTTTTTTGGTGCTAAAGTAAATTTGGGGCGTGCACTTAATATCTGAGAGTCAAATACTGTGGTTACATCGCACTTTGAAAAGTTCACATTTCTTTGGTGCTAAAAAGTAAATTTGGGGTGTGCAATTCATATCTGAGTCAAATAGAACCGTCAAATACTGTGGTTACATTGCACTTTGAAAAATTCAAATTTTTTTGGTGCTAAAATGTACATCTGCAGCCTGCGGTGCATTTCTTGCAGTCCAATAAAACCATTAAATACTACTGTTACATTGTTGGTTGACATATTCACATTTTTTGAGACAGTGAAGTAACTGTATTAATTACGCCTGTCACACTGTTGTGTGACTTCTAGAAATGTTTTCTCTTTAGGACACCGGCACTGCCTTACTGTCAGTGAACTTAATTGTTGACTATTGGCGGTTACATTGTTGCCTGACATAAACCATCTGTTAGTTTAGTGGGTGAACTCAAAGAATGAGGAGAGCGTTAAATAAGGGACGTGGCCCTGGTCGTGGTGCTGCTGGTGTTGGTGGAGTTCCTGTTGCAGGGAGAGGATGTGGTCAGTCTGTGCCAGCTACACGCACAATTGAAACACATTCCCCAGGTGCGAGTAGGCGACAGAACCTTCAGCGTTATTTGGTAGGCCCGAATGCCGCTCTACAAATGGTTTGGCTAGAACAAGTACAGGCGATAGTAGATTGGGTGGCTGACAGTGCCTCTAGTTCCTTCACATTGTCTCCAATCCGGTCCCCTGCTGAAAGCTCAGAGTTGACACCTGTAGCCCATAGCTTTCACTTCATCCCCTTGCAAATCAGCCAAGCAGTCTGAGCCACAAGTCATGCAGCAGTCTCTTATGCTTTTTGATGACTCTGCTGGCGGGGTTTCCGTGGGCCATCCACCTAGCCCTGCCCCAGAAGTGGAAGAGATTGAGTGCACTGATGCACAACCACTTATGTTTCAGGATGTGGACATGCGAGGACCACAACAGCACGTCTCTGATGAAGACGAAACACAGGTGCCAACTGCTGTGGCTTTCTGCAGTGTGCAGACCGGCAAGGAGGGCAGGGTTGAGCAGTAGGTGGAAGATGATGTGGAGGATGATGAGGTCCTAGACCCCACATGGAATCAAGGTCATGCGAGTGACGTGTCCAGTTTGGAGGAAGAGGTGGTGGTCGCACAGAGACACCAGAACAGCATAAGAGGGAGCAGGGTGCAAAAGCAGAGCGGCCGTCCCCTAAACAGTACGCCTGCTACTGCCCACCGCACCCAGGGACCGAGCACACCAAAGCCAGCTCCAAGGAGTTCCCTGGCGTGGCCTTTCTTCAGACAATGTGCTGACGACAATACACAAGTGGTTTGCATGTTGTGCAGTCAGAGCCTGAAGCGAGACATAAACGTTCTAAACCTGAGCACAGCCTGCATGACCAGGCATCTACATGCAAAGCACGAGCTGCAGTGGAGTAAGCACCTCAAAAACCAAGAGAGGTCTCAAGCTCCTCCTGCTTCCTCTTCTACTGCTGTCTCGGCCTCTTCCTCCACCTCTGGAGTGACAGTGGATGCAAATAGAGGATGTGGCAGCAACACCACCACGTCCGCCACCGTCCCCAAG